TATTTTTCTTACATAAAACCACCGGGCTAGCATAACTACTTGAGATGGGCGTTATGATCTTTTTACGTAGCATATCGGTGATATGCCATTCTATAATTTTTTCCTTATTCTTATCATACCGGTATGCTTTGTGGCGAACTGGCATTGAATCTCCGGTGTCAATACTATGGTTAGTAACCTGAGTAAATCCTGGAATATCACTAAATAACGAAGCAAATTCACTTACCACTTGTCGGATTCTTTGTTGCTCTTCATTAGGCAGGTGGTCAAGGTTTAACATCGGCGGTTCAGATTTTCTTCTCGAACTGGTTTCATCGTCAGCTTAAGGGACGCTTCATTAAAATCCAGCGTTGCTTGTGCCTCTGAAAGAAAATCTATTCCTAAGATAATATGTGCTTGCAGATTCTTTACTATAAAAAACATAACCTTTACTTGTTCGTCCTTGATACGGACGTATAGCGGTAATTTACCTATGCACTTACATCTTTCTCCTTGCGCAGCTAACACTGTCGTATTATCCGAATTATATATACGATATTTACGAAAATACTTCCTAAAAAAATCTTCTGCCACACAGGAACACTGCGCGCCTGTATCCAGGAGTGCGGTGGCTGGGATATTATTCACCAACACTTCAATCTTCGGAAGAGTCAAATTTTTCACCATTACTGTATTTAACTTGAAGGAAGAGGGGTTTTCGTTGGCCTTCGGATTTCCGCACCCTCCCGTCAGCAGAAATCCGTTTTAGTTTAAATTATTTTTCATTTCCGTGCTTTCCTTCTTTTTCCACTGGCCTTGAGACTTTTTTCCTGGATTGCTATTGAACTGTCGACGTTCGCCGGCTGTTTTTGAATGCTCGGGTTTCCTTGCCCACTGATTCGCTTTGCTTCCGTAGCCGTGTGCTTGAGTTTGCTGTAGTCTTGGCGCACCAAATTGGTTTCGTTGTTGATATTGGCGTCTTCTTTCAATGTCCGCCGTTTCTTCTACTTTCAAACTGGATTGCTAGCTCAAATAACTTTTCCAGTGTAGTCGGATTCCTTAATTCAATAAAGTCTTGCACTTGGGGAAGTAACCTCGGCAAAATCACTTGAATTATCTCAGGATCCGGACGGTTTCCATACAAGAGTTTGAAGACGTGAATTTTTCTTAAAATAAAGCTTGAGAGATTTTCGATTCTTTGCTGATATATGCTGAAAAGTTCCGTTTCTAATTTCGCACGATCCCTTACGACAGGGAAGGCTTTTACTAGGGCAGTCTTGAAATTTTCGTAAGTATAGGTGGGACTTCCTGCTTGACCCAAGAGACTTCTGCCTATACATTTGAACCAATTAAGCGCTTGGCCCCTCAAAGCGCTGGTAGCTAAGGTAACTTTTGGAAACTCGTGCACGGGGTAGAGCATGAAGTGGTCATCCAATTTTTCCAAAAAACTGGTTACCGGTGAGTTTCCATTAAATGTTGCTTCTGGTTTCATCGAAGCGCGCATGGTCTGGACGATGTTGTAACCAAATCCTTCCAGGGCGGCAGCTGGCATTTCTGGATTCTGAGCCGCTTCTGCAGGCAGCACAGGTTCTTCTTGAAACTCGGCCATGGTTATTCTTCTTCGTTGGGCGCCACTATCAGGTTCAATGTTCCGTCTTACTTTCTTTGGGAACATGCAAGGACCTGACTCGGAACAGAGAGCTTACTAAAGCTATGTTCAATAAATGTGGGAAGTAGACAAGGATACACAGGAAGGGTATACGAAAACCCTTTATTTTTCTCTCTTTACAATAATTTCCGTACTTCGGAATACAAAGACCAACTACTTGTGGTCTGAACGTAAGAATAAAAATATTAACTAAACTTAACTTACTTTGGAATAACTAAAACTAATAAAAATAAACTAACTTTAATTAAAATAATAAAACGTGGAAGATTGGCCTTATATTAACAGGAAGCCGTATGTAGTACAGAGAACTGTTAACACTACAATACGTTTAAAAAATTATCACGAGGATTAAACCTCTGGCCTGGAAGGCAACCAGCAACTGAGTAAAACTGCTCTAAGGTAAGCGGCCTGCTTCGACTAACTCCTTCCTCTCTCGCTTGGCAAAAAGCCACAACTTAAGTACTTGGCGTTCGCCAGACAAATTTTGCATAAATAAGTTAACGCTTTTAATTCTGGCCGGAAGTAGAAAATAAGAAGTGATAGTAAAGATTTAAAAAAAATAAACGTTAGTAAAACTTAAGATCCTTACATGACACTTTGAAAACCATCTTTTGCCGTCAAAATGTAAGCCTTCCTTTTGTCTGCATAATTCTGGTTTCGAACATCAATTCCAATCTTTCTAATTATAGTCTTAAATTCTTGGTTTGCTCGCAGCGCTGAAATTAATATGAAATAATTGTTTCTCCTGAACCTAACGTTTTAGAAGTTAACATGGTGCATTTCACGTTTTCACCTAGTTTTTATGCTATTCTTGCAATGCAAGAGTCCATCTTATGGGTCTGTGTGACAAATTCTTCCCCGAACAGAACGGCATGAAGACTGTTCTGGCCGTACGTATGGTAACCGGGTCTTTATCAAAATAAACTCGAAACTTTTATATGGCCAACAGATCTGCTAATGTTTCTTAGTGGCACTACAATTTCTTTGAGTTGGTCTTACTGGTTGGCTTAAATGTGCTACCGGTTGTTGGTCTGGCATAAGACAAGCTTCTTTCACGAAATCATATGTTTCTGCGTTTGTTCTTAATTTGCCTTCTGCTTCATTGAATTTCAAACCGAGAGTTTCTATTAATGTCGTTTTAAGTTTTTCCAAAGCAATTTTGATTCTGCCGATCAAGAGAATCTATCTTATTTCATTTTAAAATTAAATAAAGGGTTCGACTATGTTATCAACTAAATTTTTTAATGAAAGTTGTGCATTAGAAGCACAAGCAAAAAAAATGACGCGAAAGTTTCCTCCATGTTAAGTGGTGGATAATTTTTCAGCGCTGCAATTCTGGAATCTTTTTTTTTTCGATTCGGTTATTTTATAGCACAAGACTAAGAGTTCCTTGGCTAAAATTTACATTTTGCTGTATTCACTTTTAAGCCTGCTTCTTTTAGAAGGGAATTAACTTCGTGCACATCCTGAAGCTATTCCTTAGTTGACTTGCTTGTGACTATCTTATCCCCTAAATAAACAAAAGATAATTTTCCAAGGAAATGTCTTAGTATTATATCTAAAGAACAGTCATATCAATGGGTGTTTGAAACTTTGTTAGGTGCTCTGCATAGACCACATGGCATCCATTCACACATATCTGAAAATGGTCTAGATTCGAGGTCTAGTGACTTCATATGGTTTGTGGAGTTAATTTCACTTATTATTCTTCAGTTATTGGTTTAAGGGGAAAACCGGATATTTACTTTGTTAGTTTCTTAGTTACAAGCGTTCGGCACGTCTACTTATGAGGATTATAATTTTAATTTGAAGTATTTCTGCAACGTTTAGTTTCGATGATTTCCTGTTTGACATTCTCGTCGCGTAGGATTTTGCGGAAAGAGTGATTTTCTGTTTCTGCAGAGCAACAGACCATATGTGTCGGGCCTGGAATGTCATTAAGTGTGAAAAATGTCTTACCAACAACTCCAGCTTTGTTTTATCTTCCGCTTCAGTTCCTGCAGGTTCATTATCGGAGGCTGTATTTCATTTCCTACCAGCTTGTTAATAGCCAGGCGTAACTTATCTTCTTGAAAATTAATTTTTGCAAGAGTAGATTTGAAAGAATCTATCTCCAGTATTACATTTATCTGTAAGTTTCTCACAAAAAACGCAATTTATAACGTTTACCTTGGGTTGTAATCATCTTAGTTCCCGCCATATCACTACCACCTAAAATATTTCTTGACACCACTTCTGCCAAAAACATTACCCTGTGACCCAGCATCCAATAAGGAATCTGATGGTATGCTGTCTAACAGAATTTGAATCACTGGGAGAGATAAATTTTTAATTAACACCGTTTAAAATTGGATGTGAGAAGCTTTTGCTTTCAAATGGAATGATCACTCTCTCTGACTTGTAAACCTTAAATAATTTAAAGATTTCTTAATATTCCACAGTTTTCTCTCTTAGATATACCTTTTGGCGTTCGCCATTAGTGGGCGAAAATTTCTGACAACTTTGAAACCATCTTTTGCCGTTAAAATGTAAGCCTTCCTTCTGCTATTGGTTTCCGAAAATTCCCATTAATACTTTTCTTGTATCTGCACGCACATTTATTCGTTAACACTCTCTAAATTTCGAATTTGACGCTAATTTAAATAGGTCTTCTAGCGTACCAGGGTTTCTTCGTTATAACAAATCATTCACCTGCGGCAACAACCTAGGTAATATTATTTGAATAACTTCTGCATCAGGTTTTGTTTTGAGCAACAGATTTACTAGCTGGTCTTTTCTCAAAATAAAGTATATCATTTCCTATGTTTTAGTTTGTTATTTTCTATAAAGCTCGGACTCTAAGTTATCCCTATCTTTTACAAGACGGAACACTTTCAAAAGGATAGTTTTAAACATTTTAAACTTATGATTTTCATTTCCTGGGTCACCTACTAAACCATGTGCTCGTTAGCTCAGTCCTGGAAGTCCAGTGGTTTCTACGGCCACTTTCTGCAACTCTTTCTGTTTAGAGTATACTAAATATGCGTTTTGAAATGTTCAAAAATCGGTCAACACCAGGTTTGTTTTCTCCTATCGAAAGTGACCGAATGCTTCATTGCACCACTTATTGACAAAGCATAAAATAGAAAACAAAGAAGAAATATTATTTTGAAAAACTGACAGTGAGAAAGTAATCAAAATTATCATCCCTTTTTAGCTTCTGTGATCATAATATTGATGACTGTGCTATTTATATTGCAAGTAGCTTTACTTTTATATATCGCTAAAGTTAGAACTGACCAATAGCTTAGTTAACGGACCAATTTCTGATTTTAGCAGTAATAACATAATATGCATATGTTATCATTTTTAGGTCCTTGTACAGTAAATCCTTGTAAGAACGGGGGCACATGCGTAGACATTCCGAACTCTTACAAATGTTCATGTCCAGCTGAATATACTGGTGCTATATGCGAAAGGAAACTGCCAGGTAAGTTATAATGTTACTTGCAAAACGATGAATTTTTTCTTAATGTCTAGACCTTGAATTTCCGAGCCCTTTGTTCATAAGAAATAGATATATTTTTTATATCACAAACAGCTGTTTTTCGTCAAACTAGAGGAAAAAAGTAACAATGCTTCGAATTCTATGCTTTTTAAAATTCTTACACGTTCAGGAAATCTAATCTAATCCGTCACATAAACTTTCATATTTCTTTAACAAGCAACTGAATAAATGTATTTGTAATAAATGAAGCTAATAAAAAACTCAAATTAATAGTCTCATGCAACAGTATAGACATGTAGTCTCATGTAACAGTATACGCATGTAGTTTAATGTAACAGTATAGACATGCAGTCTCATGTAACAGCATAGACATGTAGTCTCATGTAATAGTATAGACTCACGAAGAAACTTTATTGCGAAACGTAGGTATGTTAAAGCAATTTTAATAATAATAATAATTAAAAAAAAATCTGAAATGTTTCAGATTTTAAACTACGTCCAAATGGGCGTTTTTTAACATTTTGTGTGTTACCTTTCTTTATTAAATATCATGTTCCTCGCACTTAAACCATAAGATCCAGTGCAACAGCAATATCGCAAAATAGTTTTAAAACGAGCGTATCTTTAGAATTTCCGATACAGAGACTCACGCGCTGGAGATAAAAATGTTTTTTCTGCACAACGTTGCCATTGCTCGCTTTGAAATCCTTGGCCCACCAGCGGCCGAGCGGTAAAGACGCTGAACACTGGTAGTTCGGTCCGAGGTTCGAATCCCGCGAACGGGCTGGCTGCATGGGCGTTTTCGTGGTTTTCCCCATGTGTAACGTGTATACGAGCCAGTTTCCCTTAGAAAGTCCTCCACGAAAGGCATCCCTCCCCTCAGGCAGATAGCCCTAGCGTGCTTTGCCATAATTAAACACACACACACACACACACAACACAAACACACACACTTTGAAATCCTTGAGTTTGTTAATCAAAAATTCGTCAAAGTTTTAAAAAATAGGAAATCGATCATAAAACAAATTTCAAATTTCAAATTTGGTCTTCCACATGCTCATATTCGTTGGAGGATTACGTTATTCAAAATTCGATGACTCTATGTAACCGTTGTTTTATCACAATACGAGAAATATACATACATTTATGCAGATTTTTCATTATTTAATTTCTTCAAATATAATGCAGGACTCTAACATTTTGTGGCAACAGTTTGAAAAGTGAACCGACATTTATGAGTCCGACGCAAAATGCCAAAACGAAACTAATAGACCTTCGGGATTCAAATCCCTTTGGACTAATAATAGTACCTTAATAATAATAGTTCATTAGATGACGAAATTTCTCTCATATTTTCATTTATATATTTTAGCCATTTTGAGATGGTTTTCCAAAAAATTATAAATAGTTACCTAAGTCTATGCATTTGTAAACATGCTACGTTCACCTCTTGCCTGTAGAAATTTTATCTTCAGTCTTTTATTTTCATTAAACAGTAATTATGCAGTTGCTTTTAAATAAATTAATTCCAATTCTTATTATAATATCGTTTAATTATGATGATTATTATAATATCGTTTAATCACAGCTTGACTTTCAGGTGATATGTCTTATGAAAACTTCAAGACCGAGTCAAATTTGCTTCATATGTACTTCATGCAAACATTCGTCTTTTTATTAGCACAAACGGGGTGTTTGCCCAAATAGGTTATTAGTCTCGAAACGGGATTTTCAGTTGAATCACTATGAAAGACTAAATCACTTTTCAAACTGTTTCCACCAAATATTGTCACCCTGCATTATTTTTGAAGAAATTAAATAATGAGAGAATCTGCATGAGTGTATGTACGTTTCTAGCATTGTGAGGAAACTGCTATATCTAGAGAAATTTATTTTAAATAACGCAGTCCTTCAACTGAGCATGTTCACCTGGAAGCCTGGATTTCGAATTAGTTTGCTCAGAAGGGCTATTAGTCTCGAAATGCCACTTTGCGTTGAATCACTAAAAGCGTTGAATGGTTTTCCAAATTGTTGCCAACAAATATATAGGCTTGTGTGATGTTTTCCGCCGAGTGCAGGTTTAGATTGCAGTCCGATTCTCGCCGGACTTTCATATGGAGAGCTCCAGGTACCTGTTACCACCAAGAAAACATCATTGAACGACATCGTTACGGTGGTGCAGGGGTGCTCGTTTGGGGTGGAATTATTTTGGGTTCCAGAACTGACCTGCATGTTCAAATTGGAACCATGACAAGCCAAATCTATCGGGACGTCATTCTGGAACAACATGTACGTTTGTTTCAGGGCGCCATGGGCGCACAATTTCTGTTTATGGATTACAACTCCCGTCCTCATCGTGCAAACATCGTAAGCGAATGCCTTGAATCGGAGGATATCACCCGTATGGACTGGCCAGCATTCTCCCCGGACTTGAATCCAGTAGAGCTCGTGTGGGATATGCTTGGCTGATGAGTTGCAGCCCGTCAACCTCCTCCTACATGTCTACCGGAACTTCGGAGAGCATTGCTTTTTGAGTGGTGTAATATCCCCCAAGATCAGATCGATAATTTGATACTCAGCATACCTAGGCGTTGTACGGACTGTATTGCATAGTCTGGGAGACATACAATGTATTAACAATCATATCAACCATGTAATATTGGTTTTTTGTAAATAGGTGTTTTTTGTAATTGCTCCAGGGAGAAAAAATCGCTAATTTTTTTTAATAATATCAAACATATAGTATCTTTGTTTGCTCTTTACCTTTTGTTTAATAAATAAGCTTTACAAATAAGTCAAATTTGTTTTGCTTCTAACTCTTCCTTTGCCTGATTTTGCATTATCCTTAATTTATGGACATGAGTGTTGTAAGTGAGTAGAGTTTGGCTTGATTTTGGAGAATAAACAAAATTTTAATACCTAAAAGATATAAAACGAATTATTGCTATACGTGAAATTAACTAGATAGTCTTCGAAAGGGTTTAAATAAACCTTTTTATTTTAATCACAAATGCTGCCCAGACAGAAAAAATGGTTAGTGACACTGACTGCAATGCTGAAAGGCCCGAGTTTGAATCCCGGAGAAAACATGCATGTAATTTGTCCGTCCCTTTATGGGGGGGGTAACGGTTACCCTACTATTAGGTGCCTTCGTAATAAAAAGGCCGCCGTTTCCGGCTTAAATAATTGCCAACGCTTGTAAATGGCTGGAGCTCGCCATCGGAAATAAAAAAATAAACACAAATTTTTAACATAAATGCTCTTTTTCGTGCTAACATAATCAACTATCACTTTTCGGGATGTAACTAAAGTAAGAGTGAAATTTAATTTTAACTTGTAGAGTATTTTAAGTTGTTAATATACAAATTTAATTAGTAATCAAAGACTACACAATTAAACTTCATTCTAAGCTGACTCAAATACTATAACCAGCATAACAAATTTAAATCTCGGCATCGAAAAGGCAGAGATGAAAAATTACATATTTAGAACTAGCAGTGCACTAGCATGCCCACGAGAGGCAGAAACACGCTCTGTCTTACAGTCCCATAACCTTAAGTACTTCGTTATCCAAAAACGATGTGAGAGTCATGGTTTTGTGATATCTAAAGCGTCGATAGGTCAACAAGAAAGGAAAAAAAACGTCAAATTGGAGCCTCAAGTGGGACAAAAATTCCAAACAAGTATCCATGGAAAAAACGGACATCTTCGACTATTGCAAAGGTACGTTGTTTAATGTTAAAAGAAAATCCCCCTATTCAAAGGACAGTTGCAAAATCATTAAAATGATCGGTGTCCACTGTAAACAAAATGATAAACGTTGATTTAAATATTAAGAAAGCGAAAAAGCGCAATGTGCATCGTCTTCTTCCAAAGCATATCACTCAACTCAGGACACGCTGCAGAATTCTATATGAGAAACACTTATCCAAAGAAAAATGGAAAACAATTGTCACAATAGATGAAGCATGGGTGTATTTAAATGATTGTAACAAAAAAAGAGCCATTTATTATCATAAAAGAGGAGAAAAAAATTCAAGTACATGCTTCAAAGAATCGAAAGAAAGTTTGTCAAAGGGACTCATAATTGTTGCTGGTTTTTCTTATAATGGCAAGTTAAAAATAAAGAGAGTGCAAAAAAATGTCAAGATTAACTCCAAATACTATCAGGAACATATTTTATCGCCAATTTTTCTGAATGGAATAATATCGCTTTATCCACGGTGCCATCCATCTGTGAGACTCCACAGACAAGCTAGCATCACACATCAAATCCCTATAATTTTCTAAAAAGAAATGGAAGAAAAAACTGGTATCAAGGCCATACCCTTCACTGATATCCCTACTAAATCTCCCCATGTGTCACTTATGGATTTTTGTGCTTTCGGACTTTTAAAAACTGTATTATCCAAACGTTGTCCCCAAACCCTAACAGGACTCTGGAAAGCTGTTCGGGAGGAATGAGATACAATACCTGTTCTGCCACTTAAAGGCATTATTATCCTTATTATCCTGGAAAAAGAGGTGTCGAAAGATAGTTCAGAATAAGGGATGTCAAATAGAACATTTAAAACACAAGAATTTTATGTAATTTAGTTTTGTGAATACAATATACATCGTCTAAAAAATGTGTGAACAGCCTCTGTACATATAGTCATATCTCTGAATACTGCAGTTTGATATTTAAGTTCTGATAAAGGTTATTCATATTAGTAAAGCGTTAGGGAATGCATACTAGGTAATGGAAGTTGGTATTCCGTATTCATATGGAACATTTTATTCGATAAATATTGTTGTAACCATTTAGGTAAAATTCGGCAAACTTTTAGACCTGTCAAATTCTCGGAACCATATTCACTATATTCTTCAAAGTTTACAAGCAATTCGCCAGTTTTTTTACACATACGACTGCTTTTCATATACAAACTATGATATGATTGGACTTAAAAATTTTACAATATGTGCATATGGCATTTAGTTGCACTCACAGAAATTTCTGTAAAATGCCTGCGGATAAGCAGCATTTTGCCGGGAAATCATTGGAAGGAACTTTAATGTATTTTGAAAGTGATTGCCATGAAATTTTCAGCATAACAAAAGAAACAAAAACAGATCCTAATTAAGTTTCTTCTGTGTCTAAATAAACTGGCTGAAATTTAAAATGTTCTTGTAGTAATATTTAATGCAGTAAATAATAATTTTTGGTCTCAAGTCATTATTTGTTTCCGTTACAAAACTCGGCAATTCTTAAAGACAGTTTTTTGAAGGCATGTAAATGTCTATGTGCCTGAAAGTATTAATATTTTTATTCATTCCCCTAGATCCATGCAGCTCGGAACCTTGTCAGAATGATGGAGAATGCAACGTAGAAATGGGGATCTATCATTGCACATGCAAAACTGGCTATTTTGGAAAAAATTGCGAAATGAGTAAGTAATTAAAAAGCTGCTTGTTGCTTATTTTATAGTTATTTATTCATTATTTTTTAAGAAAAAGAAAATATTCTTTTGTGTTTGTATTTTAATACAATTTTAAACATTATCTTCATTTTGTACACATATACTACTTCATATAGAATAGTTTATGAAACACCTATAAATGCTTATATGCTTGAAAACCTTTATGTATTCATAGACCCATGCAGTTCTAATCCTTGTCAAAATGGTGGTGAATGCGAAATAGATATGGGAACCTACAAATGCACATGCAAGCCTGGATATTCTGGAAGAAACTGCGAAATGAGTAAGTTGTTAATTAATTATCTTCCTTGAAAGCAAAGTAAAACTAAGTAAATTTCATTTGTTTTTAAATATATACTTTTAGCTTAAAGAAAACTTCTCATGCTCTTTCAAGACTAATGAAACTTGATATATACAGTATACAGGAAGGATACAGCAGTAAGACTATTAAATAAAATAAAGTGCTGCAAATATAAAAGAACCAGCGTACTATATTATGATATTTACTGTATTATGATACTGATGTTGATTATTACCCAGTCACTTTTATAAACCGATGTAATATGTGTACATGCTGTTCTGAACTACCTCGCAATAAGCAGGCCGACAGATTAGCCATTTCATTAACCTCTTTTGATAAAGTTTGGCGCTTTTATTGTCAATAAAATAATCTTTATGAAGAAAAGATCAAAAGCTCAAATTTGTAATGAAAGTATGTCCTGACTAAGAAAACAATCTTAAAACAACCTTTCTGAGTAAAGACATTCAGTTTCCCTAAGGAAAAACAGCCTAGGCACACCGTAATAAGAATGGTAATAAATTTGAAGTGGAATAGTTATCTGTTCGCAACTACCACCATATATAAGTAATTTCACAGTTTTTCGTTTCCTTCTGAAACGAGATTTAAGTCAATTATTAGGACTTTCTATTTTCTGTTTATGCATTTCATACACTTGCAGGTTAATTTTACTTCAACTGAGCCGCAACAAAGCTAGTTAGTTAATCATACTAGCAACTAGCGGCATAACATCGGAACCTGGAACCTTTAAGTACGTTCCTCACCTGCAAGCCATCCTCGTGAACCTATACTTCAAATGCTCATCGTAGCACTATTACATTATGACACCCGGAAAACAGCTTGCATAATGCAAGCTAGTCGCGGCATATAACGATAGTTGTTGGAGTTGGACATTTAGGGCTTTAAGTTTGAACTCATAAACTGAGGAGAAAATGCTCTCTCTTCCATATTTGTTAAATTATCTCTTCTAGGAATCTCACATGATGTATTTTTGCAGGACGTACACTGCGCAAAAAAAAAAAAAAAAAAAAAAAAATGGAACAGTTTTATATCTCCCGTTCTACTGGGCCGATTGACGAAATTCAACTTGCATTTTTCTTGTCTCGAAAGCGTGACTTGGGATGTGTATTAGATTTACATATAACATTGTACTGATATAGGAATTTTGACACAAAAGAGGACTTTTTCTGAAATGGCATGCCACGTTTTTTCATTTTTCAATTCTACGGCTCAAATTATGCCAAAATGCCACATTTTGCAAACATCGAACGTGTAGTTTTTTAAAAATTACCTCTCAAAATTTTTGCTCCTCAATATTAATTGAAATCGGTATATATTTATTAATCTCTCTTTTTTTATTAAATTTATTTGATTCTTCCTTTATCATTTCGAAATTTAAGTTCATTCCAAATAAAATTCGCCCATTCTTTATGATTTAGTTTTAGAATTTGTATTTTAAAATAATTTTTATAAATTTTTCCAAAACAATTTTGAATTATAATCTATAAAATTTTTACCATCATCTTAAAGCAGATGTATTTCTGAGCATACCTGCGAAAAATTAGAATTTTTGTATTCAAAATTTCTAGAGATATACGTCACTTTATATGATGGCGCGTTTTGAAATTTGGCATATTTGTTGAAAGCGATAAAACACCAAATGCGGTTTAGGCACTTTGTTAAAATTATTTGAAAGTAGGAATGATGTCGCTTTCTCCCCTTGCGCACAATGTAAAAAAGGGAAAGGAGAATAGGTTGTCATATATTAAGAAGTTCGCCGAGTGAATTATTCTTGGCACAAACTGAAAAAAATGCGCCAAGATAAATTTTTGAATTTTCCCTTAAATTTCACACCAAATTTCACACTGAGGAGAAAGAAAGTTGCCAGCTTGCATTTGCCATACGTACCCAGCAACTAATGTGCTAGTATAGGGTTCCAGTAGGTACTCATCCCGGTCACCTTTTTTGGGCAAACCGTAATGGGTACTGCTGCAATTACATTTCTTGCGTATTTACTCTTTATGGCTGTGTCGTACCTTCGAAGCCTGCGTGAAGTCCGATATTGTGTCAAAATACTTATGTTAGGACAATGATATAGATAAATCTAATATATATCCTAAGTCGTGCTTTCGAAACATGAAAAACGCAATTTGAATTTCGTCAATCGGCCCAGTAAAACGGGAGATATAGAACTATCTTTTTTTTTTTTTTTTTTTTTTTTTTTTTTTTCCATAGGATATCATTAGGCCAACATTTCTTTTGAGCCGGAAACATTGCAAAATTCCCAATGTCGCATCACAACGTAACGAATACCAATAACCGATATATTTTTAGATGTGCACTGTTATTATAACGATGAACAATTGCCCCACCTCCATCTGTCCATCTGCTGATCCTGTATCATACTGACTCAAATAATTTTATTGAAACATTTTGCAAATAGTGTGTGCTTAAAATTTTAAGATTCCTCCAGATAATGTGCAATATAGTCTCTTAATTTCTAACTGAGACGTTTACCATCTGGAACTACTTCAGCAGAAACTCGTAATTCATTTTAATGGGGATAGCAGTATATTACATAACAATGCTTTGCTTATCATTTTCTTGCGCGTGCTTGTTTCTAAATGGATAAGCAAAGAAAATCCATTTGCTTTCTAAGTTGTCAGGTAGTGGAGCATATTGAATGTCATAGAAGTCTGCTCTAATTTTGTTATCACAGACAAGCAATATAAGTAATAAAATAATAATTTGCAAAGATAAGATGAAATTTAGGAAGAAGTTTACTTGCATATCATTAAGAAATTTTTTTATTGTTACAATAACGTCCAGCATTATTTAGGTTAACATATCAGCTATAAAATAAATTGAAATGAAAGCAATTTGTTAAGCTTGCTGGAGAGCTTTGAATAATAAAAGCCGGTTGAATTTTTCTTCTGCCTTTTAAAGACTTTGTTTAATGTGAAAACTTTTGTGGCATTTCATGTATTTTGTTCTTTGGTGATATGTTGCACAATGCAGAGATGCACAAATATCCATTGTAAGATTTCAACCTGGGTAACTTTAAGTTACAGTTGAAGTTGAGGAACCTTAAGAACTGATAAGAGAACAATCGCTTGAGTTCGTGAGACATTGAACAAAACGTGAGAAGGGTTAAGTACCCTTAATTATTCCAAATAAAGTTCACAGAATACTCCTTCTTGGAGTTTTACAATAAAGCCTCCACTCGGTCTTGAACTCAGGAAACTAAGAAATTAAACTTAACTAATCTACTAAAAAGATATATTAGAAGCTATCAAGATTCTTAAAAAGTTGGCCCCTTAACGCTAATTAGCGGCGAAGCTATCAAGGGTCTAAAGTACGGCCGATCGTAGAAATAGCTTTAGAGACAGAATAGCCAAAAGGCTAACGCACGCTGCATACAATCTATGGCTGTCTCACGAAGTCTGTAGAACTTCACAGTTAAATACTTCTCCTCATTTGCATTCAAACGCGATTCTGAAAATACGTACTGGCTGGAAGTTGTAAGCTGAAATTAAGGAAGACATGAAAGTAACTTTTAACTAAAAATTATCTGTTAGAATAATTAACGTAAACTTACATCATATAGGCGAGCCACACTGTTTGTTCAACCGAAGAGATGTACAAATTGCCTTCGTTTTGGCCATATTAAACACTTCACATTAAACACCACTAAAACAGGTTCAAAAACGAAACTGTTTGTTACACCTGTTCAGGTCCTCATTTAGCCAAAGACTGTAAAAGTAAATTTTAAAAAATGTATTAATTGTAAAAATTTTAACTCAAGGATAAATGAATATAGATGATGTGCACGAAGCTATTTCTAAGGAATGTCCAGTTTTTACGAGAGAAATAAAATATATTAGAGAACATATGAATTTATGAACTTATGAATTTTTAACTATGGATCCTGATATATTAGTTTTACTGATTTAATATCTCGCCGCCGGAGTACTTGAGTTTCACTGTACAAATTCTACTGAGGATTTGCTTCTGCTTTAATTTTTCCTGGCTTAATTAATTTTAATTTATATTGGTTTTAGGAGAGATTTTACCATGGCACGATTTTTAAATTAAATTAAATTAAACTTTTAAAATTTTCATTGGATACAGTTTTTATTGTACTTCATTTAATGAGGTTTTTAAGCATTAATTTGAACCATTGTTAAGCAACTGCCATACAGCTCTCTGCGATTGATGAAATTTTGATCAAGACCTCAGACGTTATTTTGATTCAAGAACCATACTGCATTGAGAGCGCCTCTTGCATATAGTAATAGAAATTGGAGAGTAGTTCATCAAAATGGTGGGAGAACGGCCATTATTGTCGTTAATCCGGATATTGATTTTACTGCGGTTTAGATGTTATCACCTCTATAATAATTAATACTGGTAAAGATTCATATGGAGTTATGTGTGTTTATTTTTCCCCAGCAGAAGATATAAATTTATATCTCTTTGAATTGGATGACATTAAATTTATATATAAAATTTTTAATTTTTAGAGATTTTAATGCAAAGCAGTTTCCTTGGGAAGCTGCATCGGTTGATGCGAGAGGTGTTTTGGTGAACAACATTCTTTATTTTTATATAAGCGATAAGCGACGGAGGACGTGGTCACTGTTCCTTTGCCATTAGGTTAATCAGTACAGCACCACGTCCACCCTTATCTAGAGTTGGCCAGTTGGTGCGGCCACACGAGAGCCTCCGACAAGACTCCCAGATTCAGCCCCTAGAGCATCCGGTAGGTAGTCGAATAGATCTATATGCCCGCCCGGGGATTCACCCTCATCCAATCGCCAGGGCACAGCATTTATTGAAACAAAATCAATCTTTATATGTCCATACAATATCGGCGGCTCAGTGTATGTGCCTGTGTCTAATAGCTTATTAAACAGTTTGATGAATAGGTCCGGTGTTGCTAGGACGACTGTTTTTACTATGGCATAATCGATGGGCCATTTTCT